CGAATTAAATATTGCCAGGCACCAGAGAAAAGGTCATGCAACACGCCTCTGAAGTGTTTGCAGCACATTGGCAGAGCTTTAAGCTACTCTACCCCCGAGTTGCCTTGGGCAAAGGCTGCGGCACATACACACCACACCTTTTTTTCACACCTCACAAAGCACTTCCTGTAGGCCTCGGACAGGTCTCTCCTCCTCATGCAATCTGCATGGAAATTTCACCACGTCCCAGCTCCGAAATGGATGCCTCTGCTTTTTGTGTCTTTTGTTCGTTCGGGTTTTGGCCAACAGTTTAGACATTCTTGGGGGGAAATTGCATTTGCCTTGGACTGCGGCCCCCCCCCAAATTCATTTAAACTAAATTGGTTTGCCAGCCTTTATGCAAAGATTGTTCAAGGCTGACTGCCAGTTGCTCAACTTAATTTACATTACAAAAATGTCCAACTTCTGCTTGAATAAGTTTCCCAAAATGTTAGGCCACAAAATGAAGCCTAAAATCGGCGATTCCAATAGAGGAAGCCCATAGATATTTGGCAGTGGAAATTTGATGTATATCTAAAGCGTACAATAATAGATGGTGCTTTTGGGTAAAACTACTTAGAGTGTGCTTAAAAGCTGTAGAAAAAATAAAGTCCTAAAGTCGACATATCTTTGCCCAGCACGTACACGCACCCTCCTGCTCCCTGGAGCTGTGCGTGGATCAAAAGGAAGCCCCTCTGCACATATACGTATCCTTATACACATATTAACTCCATTATGGCCAAGACAATCCAGCTAATACAACCAGAAACATAGCCATAGGGAGCGTCGAGCTTGCTGCTTTCCTTTTCTGTTTGGGTTTTGGGTTTTGGGTTTCCCTTTATTCCTAATGCGACAGTCAATCGGATTTGTACAGCAATGCGCTCTCTCTTGGCCATAGATGAGTTTTGTTTGTACCACTGATTACGCATCAAGTGCCAGAGCTGCCACGAAACATAAGCAAATTGTGGACAAATGGTAAAAATACACTTTCTATTCCATTGGGACAGCTATCCTTCTGTGTGTATTGTCGTCTGACATTCTTCGCATTTGTCAATATGTGAGCGGACATGGTCAAACATGAAAGGACCTTCCTGCATGTAAAAAAAAACACACACACACAAATGAGGGGTGGTTTTCCGTATGTCATCCTGTGCTTGACTTCCGTTTAATTTTGTGTACGTGTCTGTGTGTGTGTGTGTTTGTTCTCTTTTGTTTAAAATATTCCACGTAATTCGCTTTAATTCGCTCAGCAAGCAAACATCGCTTCAAGTGGATTTGGCTTGCATTTAATTTAATTTCTGCACATTACGCACACGACTCGATGGCACTCAATCGCCTGCCAGTTTACGTACGAATGAATCTTCATTATTGCCTCCTGGAATGTTGGGAGTACTTGAAGTTTCTGTTCCTTGGCATTTTCCCAGTGCACTTATCATGTTGCCTTGCTGCCTTTTTGGCCATAGACATCTTCATTGTCTTTAGCTGCAAAAGCTGCGTTCAAGAGTGGAAAATATTCTCAACCTGACGCTGCCTTCCCTTGCCTTAATGAGCGCCGCCAAACTGTAGCTCTAATTGAACAATTACAAGCGGGGGCCAAGAGGTTTCCGCTTGCGCTAATATATGACTAAGTATTTCCATGGCAGCAGCGCTTCCAACAATGCATAAAGTGCTGTACGAGTAGTCCTTGAATAAATATGGAGACAAAATAAAAAAACACAACATAAAAGCCCGAAAAAGAGCAGCTGCCAAACAAAAAGACAGACAGCGAGAGAGTGAGGGAGTGCGATATATAAACAGCTAAAGAATATTCATGTGCCTCAATAAACCCCAAAAGAAAAGATGTCCTTTTCGCGCAGCTCCCCCCGGTTCCATCTATGTCCTGGAGCATTAAAGTGCTGCCCGAGAATGATAAAAGTTGAAGAAAGAAACTCAAACAAAAAATGGATATAAATAAAAGGCAAAGGAAACAGCAAACGTGCATTAAAAATATTGCAAGGGACAGAAAACAGCACAAGCAGGAAAGGACTCGAGCGGTCCCACTAGAATGGATAGAAAGATAGATAGATACAGATACAAAGATACATAGATACACACTGTACTGCTGACAATTAAAGTACAGGCTGGGCAGCAGGCAGCGGAGGGAAGACATTTAAAGCGGACAACATTAAGACAATGGCCGGATGAATGGCAAAATAAATAAAATTGATTAGAAATGGGAATGTGAAATCGATGCCAGGCGCCCGACGACAGCTACAGCTACAGCGACAGCTCCTTCTGGCTGCTGGCTGCTTATCTGACGGCCATTTCATTATTTTAATGCAGCAGATGAATCGCTTTTTGCCTCCCCCCCACTCAGCAAAAACTCATCCTGAATTGACTGACTGACAGACAGGGCCAGGCCAGGACGTAGTATTGATTGACAGAGAGCTGTGGCATCCTGTCGACAAGTCTGTGCTGTCTGTAAATAGTATTTATATATTTTATTCAACGTTTTAGCCCTATTTCTCGTTGACATTCTGCAGCAACAGAAAGTACTGTCCACTTGTTCGAACCATCTGCAAATCAATCACATGAAAATGGGTAAAGAAGGGACTTGACTCCACTCCACTCACCGACATTAGGGTAGGCAGTGACATGGGCAGAAACCAGGACACGTCCAGTCGAAAGCAGCGATTCGTGCGCATCAGCATCATGCGAATGAGTTGCCGGAACTCGCGCGACTCCCCATACCAATCGCACGCATAGAACGCACCAGCAATCTGTTCGCTCTGCCCAAAAGAAATAAAGGAAGTAAAAGCCAAAGCGGGATTAGCAGAAAGCGCCTCGATAGAGCTTTCGACTCCACACTCACAGCTGTCGCAAATCGCTGGCCATTGTAGCAGTAGACGACAATCTGATAGCCGCTGGCCACCAGGTACATGGTCATCCGGATCGTTGTGATGCTGCTGCTGTTTCCCTGAAATACACAAAAAAAAATATAAGAAAAATGGAAAATGGAATCCCCTCGCCAATGCCTACCAAGCCAACACTCAACTGGAACAGCGCCAGGCCCCAGCCGAACAGGCTGAACAGAAATTGTGCGAGCGTGATGTGACGAAAGCAGTCGTTGACCTCCTCTGCAAAACTGTTCTTTGCAAATGGCTTTAATAGGAGAGCACGGGCGATGCATGCCACTCACTCACCTTGCCACTCGCTGGTATTGATAGATGCAGCAGCGTAGGTACTCCACGCGACGCTCTGGCGGCACTAACGGCGACGTGGCACCGGCAATCATTTCGTTGAGGGACTCCATTAGGCCAACACTGTGCAGGCAGAGCACAATGAAGATGCCATCGAAGCTAACGGCAGCTGTGGGGCGCCAACACAATTAGTAAATCCGTTTGGGGTGTGGCAGGCGACTGGTGCAACTCACTCATGCCACAGATGTACAGGGAACAGGACTCGAGATACATTTGCATGTGGTAGTAGGGAAAGGCCAGACCCTTGTCCGCCCAGCCAGGATAGAGCGAGGGCAAAGCTGCAATGAGCCACAAGGAATTCAGTGGGGCAATTGTCGAAAGACTTTCTGTACTCACGCAGAACAATGTCAAAGGTGCCGGGTGGGCGGGTGAAGTGGCGGTAGAGATTGCTCGCCAACGAGCTAATAAAGTAGTTCGATGTGAGGGCTATGCAGCTGTACAGATAGGTCAAAAGTATGCGTCGTGTGCTGCCCCAATACCGTTGCATAATGTCCGAGACACGTTGACGCAGAGACTCAACCACAGGCAGATCTACAAGGATACAAAAACTGCATTGAAGAATGATCAGAAAAGCAACGAGACTCACCCGAAATGGCGCTGAAGAGCTCACAGCGTTGCAGCAGCTCGTGGCAGCGCGCCTGCCTGAGCAGCTCGTACAGCCTGCGATGGGCATAGACGAAGTACCACATCTTGGCAATCGATGTGAGAAACTGCAGGGCAGTGCTCACAGTCTGTGTGGGGACATTAACGTGGATTGCAGCAGACAGCAGGAGACCCAAACTCACCTCAACTATCTGCGGAATATCCTCTATGTAATGCATAAACATCTGCCAATGTCCGTAGAGGGAAGCCAAGCTGCTCAGACTCAGCACAATGGTCCATCTGCGAAGAGAAACGCTGCTAAAGATTGGCCTATCTGCACATCAAACCACAAGTTACATACACTCTCAATGCCCGATCCCAACGTGTGGGCTTCATTAGGTTAAAGCCCACCGTGTAGGCCAAACGAATCATCTCTCTGATGCTGCGAAAGTTGCGCTTCTCCAGCGCAGCGGCCTCTTCCGGCGAGTACATGTCCGCTAATTGACAGTTAATTGTCCTAATCGGGCATTTATAACCCTGATTAAGCATTAATTATGCATTGGGTAGGTGTTGCTGCGGTGCCACGCCCCATTACGTGAGCACAAAGTTGCATTAAATAATTGAAATAATTTTCTTCATGTGAGTCGTCGGCGGTGAAGTGGGGTGGGTGGGGACACACACCGGCTAATTAGTATGTCACATAATGAGATCTACACCCCGTGAAGGCGCACGCAGGATGCGGCAATTGAAACAAATTAAAGTTCAACGGACTTTTGGGCAACCCAAACCCCAGACCAAGTTGGTTTTTTATTTATCCGAAAGCTTGGGCTGTGGATAAATTCAAGAGCGAAGGAAGCTCCTTTGTAGCTTTTGGTGGGGTTGTTTCCTTGCTTAGACGCTGCCCAACACTAGAAAAAAAGCTTCAAATGTATAACTACATGACATTACATGGACAGCACTTTACACCATGTTTTATGTAAAATGACATTCAACGAATTAGTTCCTGAAAAATCAGCTTAAAATAAATCCAAGCAACTCTCACCCAAAATAAAATCCCCATAAATAAGGTACACCCAAACGAGTATTGAAATATTTTTTGCTCAATGATTTTAGTATTTATTTTCATGACCTTTCGCTCATTTAGATTTGAATACATTTTTGTTTTGTTTTGTGTTTTGTTTATTAAATAAATTGTTGTATGCACCTCGTCAACGATTTTAATGGTATTTTCGGTATTCACTTGTTTGCTGATTTACCAGACACAGATGTTCAAAATGTACTCGTAATTATTGAAATGATTTAAATATTAATAACATTTGTTTGCATTTTTGTTCGCGTTTGCAGTTTTTGTTTCTCTTTGTACAGAATATTTCTAAGCGCTGAAATTAGTTGGGGAACTTGCTGGCTTTCGGGTTTAATAAATATCTTTATATACAAAAGAGGTTTAAAGTTAAGAATTTAATTTATGGGGGGAATGTGGCCGGTGCGCTGTGTGGTGTGTGGTGTATGGTGTATTTGTGCTCATCAAAATCCTGGGCAATTATAATCCTAAATGAAATTTGCTTACAAAAATTCTGCCTTGAATGCGGTTCCAAGCATTTGTCAATAAATACTTAAAATTTGTATCTATATTAAGTCGATTTTCCTTGGCTTTATTTACTACTATATATAAATAGCTGTATGAATAGTTTTTGTTTTGCTTTTGCTTTTTTATTTGTTGTTAACGATTCGAAAAGCGGACGTTGTTGAGACTCTCTTAATACCGTGTCTGTCTCTTAATAAAAGTGCTTTTTGTTTTTCATCTTTTTCTTTACAGATTGTAACTGTGTGGCGCATCCGTGGCCGCTGTCTATGTGTGAGTGGGTGAGTGTGTGTTTTAGTGTTAGTGTAAGTGTGAGCTCGTATTCCATTACTTGATATGTTTCTAAGAGGCTAACAACTTGCAACTCTGGCATGAAACGAAACGATTTAGCAAATTGGACAAGTTCGGTACGGTACTGGGTTCTGTTCTGCCTTATAGAGAGGTCATAAATGCTGCGCACAAAACAAAACTTCCTCTGGGATCGAGGATGGATGTGGAATGTGAATGGGGCTTTGGGGCGGGCGGGGCGTGCTAATTGACTAAATACTTGCGAAACTGGGAGCAGGTCTTACAATTGTATTGCTTACGTATTCGGAGAACAACGGATTCACGAACGAGGGTGTAACAACGATCCTACAACTAACAAACATTACTTTAGTGGGTGGGGACTAGAAACAACAACAACAACAAACAACACATCTATGCATGTAAAATATCCAAGCAGTCGCATTTAAACATAAATTTAAACCTTAGATTCTTTACTTTCTTTAATACATGGCAACCACCAGACATGGACCGAACTCAGGCGAAGGTGGGCGCGTGGGACGGGGTGTGTGTGTGTGTGGGGTTGGTGGGTGTTAAGCACTAACCGAAAAAGCCCTTAAGCACACGCACTTGCATAATACATATTGTATTATATTATATATTTAGTACTATATACATGCAATGTATTTGTTGAGTTTTATAGTTATAGAAACGAACGATTTTTTGTTGACTAATTTATGGTTTTTGAGAACTCGAACGATTTACGATCGAATTTTAAGATCTATGTACATACAGATACAGTTACAGTTACAGTTACATTTACTTTATGCATTTTAGGCTCCAATGCTGATGCTACTTTATAGAGTTTTTCCTACCCAAATCTTTGTTGCAATCCTTTTTTGGCGTTTTCTTGCTATTGCTGCTGGCGGCTTGATTTTTGAAAAATATTTGAGCTATTCCATATGTATGTATCCAATAGATTGTATATGTATGTATATACCATGTAAATATGCGAATTTATGCAATTGCGATGCGGTGTATATACTCCTCTATATATGTATATATATTTGTTTTTATTATAAGTTTGCATTCAAAATATGAATATATTTCTTTTGTCTTTGCTATTTAGGCTTTTGTGGTGATTCTCTCGCTCGCTCTCTCGCTTTGGATTAGGTTATAGCAGCGTAGCTCTCTCTCTCTCTCGCTCGCTCTGAAGGCTGTAAAACTGTAAATGTAAATAAGATTTTTGCTCTCTGTACACGGGCTCTGGCTCTAGTTCGGATTGGCTCTTCGTTTGCTATTATTTACATTACATTTACATTCAATTCGTTTAAGCGTTATCATCATTAGTTGTTTGCTGTTTTATATTTATATTTTGTATGTATTATCCCTAATGCTATACTCCTTCGGCATTCATTCCATCTACACATTCTGTAGCTCCTCCTAAATTACCTCTCGCTGCTGCCTTCATCTGCATCTCAACTAGACTAGGATACTGTTCATTGCTTTTATATAATTCACATTCCATGTTTGCTAACTTTGCTATCACTTTGAGTTTTCCCTTTTGTATCTGTGTGTGTTTTGTTGTGGCTTTTGTGTGTGTGTCTTAACTAATTGCTACGTGGGGGGATCACCGCCTCTGGCACTGGCATCGCCGCTCGTGTCGGCACCATCACGTCGCTGCAGCAGTGCTCTCTGCTCATCATTGGCTTCAGCCTCGCCTTCGGCCTCAGCCTCTGCCTCTGCTTCAGCTTCAGCTTCTGCCTCAGCCTGTGCTTGTGCTTGGCGTTGATCCTCCGTATTCGGCTGGGCAGTTGCTGGAGCTGCGTTCTCCTCGCCTGCACGACTGCTCACTGGCGAGGTGAAGGTCGTCTCCGAGTCTGTGTGGGAAGTGAACGAAAAGATTAGAAATCGGACAGGGAAAATATTTTCTAGAAGTGCTTCCAACAATTATGATGATCAATGCTATACAATAAGCGGCGAATGTGTGTGTGTTTGTGTGTGTTTATGATCAAATTCTAAAGCTTTTAATACATCGATTTGTCTATGGAGGGAACACCACAACAAATAACAAATGGAAATCGTATCGTGGTGCTATACGAAAATCTGTGTGTGGGGGTTTGGAATCTTCCGCAAAGAGTGCGTCAGTGCTGGCATAAGTACACGATATATCGATATTGTTATCGTTATTTTCATCGATCTTTCAATACTAACAGCTGCTTGCTTTTCGCCTGTCACTGCTCCTTTGGGTGTTTCTTGTGGTGGTTGTGTCTGTGTATGTAGGGGGATGTTGTTTTTGGTTGTTGGTGGGTTTCAGAATGCTGCATCGAAGAAGTTTGCTGGTGGGGAGAGGAGGGAGGAAAGTAGAAGAGGTACAGTCGCGATGATCGATGCGTGGTGGTGGTGGGTTGGGGCAAGAGCGAGTCAGCAAGCGAGACAAATATATAGTTATGGATATATATATATATAGACAAAGGAAAGAAAGAGATACAGAATAGGGTAGTTTTTTTTTGTTTTCTTTTTGGATTACTCAGAGACGCGATTAGAAAATAGAGCATTGAAAGAGAGTGGCTGCCACTCCACCGATAACCTACCCAGGCTGCTGTCCCTGGTGTGCTGTCCCTCTGCTGCATAGCCAGCAGATGTGGTGGCGGATGAGCCACTGGCAGCCTGCGAAGCTGCCGTACTGCTGGAGCGTGAGAGGAGCGGCTTGACCTGGCGCAGTGCCTGCTCCTCGGGATAGCGTGGCGTTTGGAACTTGGTTGGCTTCGATGATGATTGCAAGGTCGCAGGTCCTGAGCGTTGGTGCATTAGCGTACGGTGCCTGAGGGGTGGTGGGGATATAGACTTGGCTAAAACTGAATGAGGTAATTTATTCGGTGAGTAATCGCTGCCAGATTCGCCCTGCAAAACGAAAAGATGTGTGTGTGTGTGTGTGGAGGGAAAGAACTTGCTGCACGATTGTAGGGTAACCCACCATAACAGTGCCGTTGTCGGAGACGCCCGAGCCGGACATGTTGTCCGCCAGGAGGCGCTCACTCTCCGGATCGGACAGGACGCGTGAGATATCAGACTTGTTTTTCAGTATCGATTTGGAGCGCCTGTGATGCTCCAGATTGGGTGACGCATCAATCGAGTCTATTGATGAGGAATGCTTGCTCTCGAACTTGGCTGTAAAGAGAAAGGATCACTAGTTACTCGCTACTCGTTACCCGCTACTCGCTAATTACCTTTGGAGCCGGCATTCTGTATGCCAAACAAATGCTGATTAATCAGCTTGGTGGCAGTGGCTAAGCTCTTGCCCGGCGTAAACACCGAACGCTTCTTCTTTGGGCCGCCGCTGGCGCCGGCGCTACCACCGGCCGTTGCGCCGCTACTACCCAAACCTCCTCCGCCGGATCCATCCACCCGGCCGCACACATCGTCGTCCAGCCGGGTATCCTCGAAGCGGGCACGCGGACGTGCCACGCTGCCGCCGCTCGGACTCGGCCGCATTGCGGTGAAGCTTTGCTGGAAACGCGTCTTGCGATGCTTTGGCACAGAGTTCTCGTTGAGGCTGACGCGGCTGCCACGCTCCTGGACATCAAAGTTCTGGTAGACATCGTCCAGAGGACTCAGACCGCCACCGGCCGCAAGATTGCGCAGCGCCGTGTCCCCCGAGGCGCTCTTCTTCACCTGAGCGCGTAGCCCAGTTGCCGATGAGGAGGAGGAAATTGTGGCTGGCAGGCCCACAATGAAGCCCGTCGAACTGCTGATGTTATGGTGGCCATGGTGGCCATGGCCCTCCCGTTCCAACGGATTTATGTACAGATTGTCCATGTCAATGTCCAGGGCACAGGCCTCGTCGTTGAAGTCGGCCGTGAGATCGCCCTGCGACAGGAACGGATGCGTCTGGCAGCTGGCATACGTATCGGAGCTGTCGACGCTGGCCAAGTCCGCATTGTTGTTGTTGTTGCTGCTGCTCCCATTGCTGCCTGCCACCCCATAGTGGGTGCTGAAGTTGCCACCAAAGAGGAGCAAACCATTAGCGCCCATGCCACCGGCAGCGCCCACTGTGGTGGTGGTGTTGAAGTTGTTGTTGTAATTGTGATTGAAATTGGCAGCACTGGAAATGGCCGCACCGAAGCGCATGGACGCGTCCAGGGGCAGAGCAATGGTCGTCGATGTGGTGGTGCCATACGACGAGGATGTCGACGACGACTGCGAGATGATGGGCATGGCACTGGTGCTGGTGTACACGGGCAGCAGGATGCCCGGGGCGGGCGGTGGCGGTGGCAGGGCCATCAGTGGACCCAAGCCCACTGCCTGATGGCGCTGATAGGTGTGCGCCGCCGGAGCCATGTGTGGGGAGAGCAGCCCAAACTGATTGGCCTGTCGATTGGCTGCCGCCTGACGCATCTCCTGGCAGATGGGCTTGTGGAAGTCCGAAGTGGGCAGCGCTATGACACCCTCCGCATCGGTGTACTCCTTGAAGTCCTGCAATGAGTTGTGTGGTTGGTAGTAACGGTGGATCAAGGATCAAGGCCAGCTCCAGCTTGGATTGCTCTATTATTGTTGTTGTTTGTTGTTGGTGTGGTAGTACCTGTGTCTGGTCTCTGGGTTAGCTATCTGTGAGTGTGTGTGAGTGGCTGTGTGTGTGTGTCGGTGTGTGTGTGCGTGTCACAGTGACTGCGATTTGTTTCGTTATGGTGGTGTTCGCTTTTGCAAGAACGTTTAATAAAAACATGCAACTAGGAGAGGCGCCAAGTAAAACGCAAACGTGCAGCGCTAATTATTCGTAATTATTCGTAATTATTTGTAATTAAAAACCTAATTGAAAGAACGTTAACTTAAAATAAATGCGGTGCGATTCCTGCATGGGAGAATATTTTAGAACTTTAGAAATTTAATTGCTGCTCATTGGGGGATCGAGAACACTTATCGAAACTTCTTGGAACTTGGAAGATAATCGTCTTAAAGGTAGACGTACGATTCAAGATTCAAGATCTAAGTGATTCCTAAAGCTTTGTTGTTTGATTCATAATTTCATAGACTCATTTCTAACCTGCTATACCAAGAAGATAGCAGAATCTGCAATAAATCAACTCTCTTTTAATATATTTTACTGAATTAATATTTGTAGTTGATATTTCACATAAAGCTACATTTTGACACTTGTATTCTGCGAAAAGTTCTGCTCTGATACTAAATCTACATCACTGCATTAACCCTTTAAATGGCTGTGACCACATACCGTTTAAACTCAATATTTTCCTTTATATAAAGTGAATTAATATTCTGAAAGTTCAGAGAATAAATAAATATATTTATTTGTTTGTTCTTTCCATCTGAGAACAGCTGCCATGCAAAGGGTTAAGGTTTTTCTTTCAGTTCTGCCTAAATGTTCACTACTAAACTGATCCCCCAATATAGATTCGATGCCGAGTGCTCCAAATACTTACCGGCGGTTTCCATTGCTCAAAGGTTCAAATGAAAAATCTCTAATTGAATGGAATTTAAAACCGAAAGCAAAGTAGAAACATTCTAGACGAGCAATACGGAAAGAATCAGCAGGCAGAAGAAAGAGTCGAGAAGAGTGCGGCGGATAAATAAATTCGATTCATTGTTTGGTATTTTTTATTGCAAGATTCTTTTTGTTCAGTTTGATTCGGTTGGTGTGTGCTGAGTGGCTGGGCTGGCTGCTTCGCTTCGTTGAGTGGTAACAGAAATAAACAACAAACTAATAATGTATATAGAGAGCGTTAACATTTGTTCATCAAGTGGGCTGTTTAAGTAATTGATTTGTGGCGTTATGGTTTTTGTTTTTTCTCGCATTTTTATAAATGATTTTCGTTGATTGGTTTTTCCCTTTTGATGCTATGCCCTTTTGCGTGTAAGTAAAGTAATTTGTGGGGCTGATTGTTACCCATTTGCTAGGATATATTAAGCTACGATTAGGCTAGTTGTAATTGATGTAATTACGTGCTTAGTGCATACAGTAGAACATTCCGAACGATTTAAACTTTTGCTCCTGCTTCTTCAGTACACAGACACTTGGTTTCAATAATACACTTTAAATAATATTAACACATGCGCTTTGCGTTCATTTCTGGTTCGGCTGGGGTTGTGGTTTGAGTGTAGAGATTATATAGTTTAGGTATAGTAAGGATTATAGAGATTAAATTAATAAAAATTCTTAGAATTCTTAGAATTTTCTATGTCTTTTGTTTAGCTTTCACGTCGCGCGGTCCACGATGTTCAACAGTTGAATGGATAACACAGTATTAATCATAATTAAAGGGTATTCAATCGATTCTTGATTAAAGCTAATTAACGAGTAATTTTCGAGTGAATTTTCTTTTCTTGTTTTGTCTATTTATACCCGAATTTGTATAAGTATTTTTCTGCTAAACGCTATTCGCGCGCAATGGAATACACTCGCCTTGGCATCCTGGCAAGCCCTTTAAGAAAAAGAAAATGAAAAAAGAAACAAAGTCAACATAAAAACATTTCCATTTTCCAATACGCACAAGTTTTTCCATTCTTCACACAAAGCCAAAACACACACAAAACAGAGGAAAGAAACACACAATATTTGGGGGGGACGGGAACAAATCACAAAGTAAAAGAAACGAAAACAAAAACGATCTTCAAACAGCAAGAAAGGGTGGGGGACAAGGACAAGGACGAGGTGCTTTGGCGTTACCATCTTTCGCTTTTCACAGATAGTATATGTCGATGGTGCCCTCCTCGAGCATCCGCTTCAGTGCCAGATAGTTTTTGGGTGACGGCGGTGGCCGCACCAGCCGCTGCATGCTGTACTCCCGGTCGTGGAACACACAAATGCGATCCTGCAATCAACAATTTCGATACGCCCTCAATATATCCCCAAGAAAACCAACAGGATTGTAGCCAAACTCTACGTCTCGTGTGTGTGTGTGTGTGGGTAGAACTATTACCAAAGCTATTACCAAATCATGGGAAGGGAAGAGCAATCGGAGCGGTCTCTGGACTGGACTCTTTGCTTTTGGGTCGGTTCTGCCAATGTATTTTTCAGCCTGGTTATTTATTAATTGTTACACTTTTTGCGCTTTTTTTAGTTGTTTCTTGGTGCGTAAATCGAATTTGTAATTGCAAAAGGAAGGGTGCCAAAAAGCATGCGATTAACACGGAGGAACATGGAACACATACAGTGGGGTGCATACAAAAGCATTTCAAGACGAAAAATGTCAACTAAAGTTTGTTTTTGTTAGCGGCATTTGATGAGGATTTACCTTGGTGGTGCAGAAGCAACACTCGAACTCCACGGGCACATCCTGCTCCAGGTTGTCCATGCGCTGATTCTGCAGATTCTCGAGCGCCACTTGGCGTCGCAGTTCGGCCACTTCCTATAAATAGGATTGGTTTGTTTTTGTTTTTGTTTTTGTTTTTTTGTTTGGGTTTTGCATAATGTGAAAAAGAAGGTTTCAGCGACAAGAAACAAATTGGAATATTATATACATATAATAAATATATTTAAATATATATTTTGTAGCTAGTGTAGAGTATAGGAAATGCACCACCAAATGCAGTTCAGACACAACATGCGGCATGCATGCAGTTTAGATATTGGTTAGGGGTAGTACGAGGACTAGTACTAGTATTTATTTTAGTCATGCTTCCTGCTAAATGCTGCTCCTCAAAGCTTTGTGTGTGTGAAATGTGTGTGAGTGCTCTGAAAATGTCATTTACTTCTATAGCAAAACGCTGACTCAAAGCAACATTTGCTGCTGCTTTCAAAATAGTTTAATCCTAGACAGAAAATCTTTCTCAACTAACGTCGAATTGTGCCAGAAATGTGCTCCAAAAATGCACTTTATATTTGTGAGTAAATAACAACAAAAATCCAACATAAGTAACCCACAAGTTTCCCACAGTGTTACTTGCTCTCCTCTGTGGTGTAACCACAGCCCATGATTATCCCAAGATCGATAGCCCATGGCGCCAACTAAACGATCTAGGCTTTGCGGATGGTCCCTATGCTGATGGTGGTGGCGAATACCGAGAAAACTGGGCAGGCATCACCGTCAGTCCGGACTGCATAACGCTAGCGCCCACTGCCCAGGGTGGATTACCCATGGAACCCAATGGAGCACTGACCACAACTACGACCTGTTATCCACCCATGGAAAGCATTCCAACACCGCCAACGCCACCACCACCGCCAACGCCACCACCAACATCCACCACAGTTTGCGAATATCCCCCACAGGCGGTAACACCTCCTTCCGAGCCTTTGCGTCCTTTCTGGCATCAGGACAATATTGATGAGAGCGAGGAGCGACGCAAGGATATGCGCGTCATAATGCAACACATCTACGTGGCACAGGCTCGGGTGCAGCTGGAGGCCACGGAGATAAAGAAGGCGCAGGGTGTGGCTTCCTCCGCGCAGGCGCAGCTGGAGGAGACGACCAATCAGGTGCGCACCATCACAGCCTCACTGCACACGGCCCAGCAGTCGGTGGCCGCAGCCGCCATACGCGCACAGATCGCCCAGCTGCAGGTGGCTGCCCACAATCAGCTGCTGTTTGCCGCTCGCCAGGACTTGGACTCGCTCTCCTCCCAGATGGTTGGACTGCAGGCGGCCGAGGGCATTGTTCAGCCGAAACTCAATGTGGATCTGAGCGCACTTTTGGACAAGCTGAAGCAGCCGCTGCAGCACTTTGACAGGCCAACGCCAGTGCCCACTATTCTTGCTAATCAGCCAGCACTTGGGGTTTATCCGCAGCATCAGAAGCCACAACAGCTGGAGCAGCAGCAGCAGCAGCAGAGTCAGCAGCAGCAGCAGAGTCAGCAGCAGCAGCAGAGTCAGCAGCAGCAGCAGAGTGTGCCGCAGTGGCAGCAGCAGAATGGAGTCGGTGGTGGGCAGTTGCTATTGCCCGGAGATGCACCCACGGGTGGGCAAGGAGTTGATCGCAGCAACAAGCCGGTTGCCTTTCCCAACGAAATGAATGGGGGGCCAGGTCAGCCGAATGTCGACAATTCGGACAGGCAGTGGTACGATATTTAGTTGGATTTATATCTACCAAGTTCTGTTTTCCTACGTGTATTTTTTTGCAAAGTTTTTTCTTTTTTTGTCACCTAAATAAATTGATGGATTCCTTATTAACTCCCATCAATTCTTCATGTATGTGTGTACCTGTTTGTGTTTGTGTTTGTGTAGCGCTGTGTAGGTGTGTTTGTGTGTGTTCAAGAGATAGATAGATGCAATTTGCTTGCTTAGGGTTCAATTGATTCAAATAAATATATACACAAGACTTAAGAAGGCGTTAGAAAGTCCAAATAAAGTTTTAGTTTAATTCTTTAGTTTGTTAGATATTACACTTGGGCTTCTTCTCAAGCATTAAGAACTGACATAAAGTTAGTAGAGAAGCATTTACTATAAGCTATAAATAGACATTGGCATACCGGGACTAGCAAAATATGAAAGGAAAATCAAACTAGGAGTTGAGGTTCTCGTTCCATCTTTTAAACCCAAAGCAAGCCGCGAAAGTAATATTAGAAAATAAGTCAAATTATCATGGAATATAGATTGAGAAGCTGACTGTTTCATGGGCATACTAAAACTGAACCAGAGGTACTGTATGTATGGAATATATGCCATAAAGTAACAAGAATATAATGCAGATTTGAGCTGTCATTCGATGGGCCAATGCACCCGGAAAATGGGCCTCGAAAAAATACAACCGAAAATGTATAAAATAAACGATAAAGAGTAGTACTTGTATGGGAGCTTGGCATTGTTTTTGAGTGTTTGTTTGTGTGTGTTTCAGCCACTGTAAAAACGAATCATTCAATCCGCAAATATCAATATGCATTTAGCCATGTCCAAATCCATTCAAAATCAAGGGTACAAAATGGGCAAAGGAATTATTCAGTACATATTTAAGAGTAGTTAGAGTATAGAGTATATGTTGGTAGCTGTGGCATTCGTATACGAGTTGAGAGTAGATCAGAGTAGAGTAGAGAGTAGAGTAGAGCTTTGAGTTCTTGTGTATACTTTCAATGTACCTCCTTACTGCGTCCCCGTAAAATCTAAAAAGTTGAAATGTGTTTGGTTGTTGTTAAGATAAGTTTTAGGTTTTGGCTCATTGTTTTTTTGCTTCGTTTTGCTTGCTTCTTAATGGTTTTTTTTGTTGTTTCTTCTTTGCCAAATTGTTGTTGTGTTTCAAATTCAATCGAGTGTTTAAAACCAAAGAGTTAAACATGAAGCTGTTCCAAAAAACGCTAAACACTAAATACCAAAAAGACTAAAATCTACTACATAAAAGGCCGACGAATCATAGAAAGAATATTCGGGGAAAAGAAGGTACAACTAAGGACATGTGTTTAGGGTTGACAAAACTAAAACTGAGAAGTGGCAATTTCCCCGGACTCGTTCGCAAATGAAAGTGTAACCAAAAAGTGAGTGAGTTTTTCCGTGTGTGTGTGTGTGTGTGTGTGTATGGTGGGGAGGTTTGGTTTTTGTTTTGTTTTTTTTTGTTTCGTAAATAGAGTTATTTGAATATATTTGGATCCAAGTTTAATGGCTTCACATTTACTAATACAATAGGATTACGATTTAGGAACTTTGAAAACATTAAGATATTCAAGATATACGATTACGATTATGATTATCAATACTGGGACTGGCCCCGGCCATGGCCATGACCTCTGGCCACCCATTCTATGACCCCTTCTTCTCCCTTCGGTTCGCTGACTTACCCCGGGCGTTATCATCATCTGTATGGGCAGACCCTTCTGATTCGATGTTAGGGTCATGTCATCCTCTCCCTCGGCACCACCTTCGGGCGGGCTGCTGCTGCTGGCTGTGGCCACGGCCGTTGCTGCACTCGAGGCAGCCACCATGGCCAGATTATTGGCAACGCCGCCTCCACTTCCGCCTGTGGCAGTCACACCTGCTGCAGCAGCAGTCGCCCCAACTCCCAGGCCCGCGGTGGCAGGCGGCAACGGTGCGGGAGGCTTCTGTTGCTGCTGCTGCTGTTGGAGCAGCGCCTGCTGTTCCCTTTTGTAGCTCTCCATGGCCATCATTGAGGTCTGTCTGGCATTGGGATTGTCGAAGCTGTACGGCGGCACAGCGTCCTGCTCAGAGCTGGATCCGCGACGCTGGCACAAGCGAAAAGATAGTTAGTTTTAGTATGCAGAAACAGGAAAATATTTTATAATAAATTATGGTAGATAAATGGAAGTACTTACAACTCGCGATTGCAAGATATTGTATCATGATTATTTGATTAAATTTTGTAGTAAAATGCATGAAAAGGATAAGGTGCGGAAGGGTATTCAACCAAGTTTAGTATGGTTAAATCTTACAAGTGGATAAGTAATGATTCTTCCCCTAAAAATCCCCAAAGGAAATTCTTTCTCTATCGGAAATTGCCGCCATGCATGTGAACCAGCTCTTCTTTCCCTTATTTGTTCTACCTTTATGAATGATGTTGATCACTTACATGCTGCAAACTGTTTCTCATGTTGGCTACGTGCTCGTAGTTCTTGTAGCAGCCGGTGCCGGTGGTTGCCGGATTGCGGCTGACGCTTGTCGATTCACCTTCGGTGCTGTTCCCGTCCGTCTGCGATAGATTGTGGCCTGTGGGCGATCGGCGTAGCGCGTGGGTTAAACGGTGCCAATTTTTCAATGATCTTGTGTGACTTTCGCGCTTTTCTGCATTGCATTCGTATGTGTGTTTATGGGTGTGTGTGTGTTTTATGTGTGCATGTGTGTGTGTGTGTGTGTGTATGTTTGGGTTATTTATTGGATTAATTGTTTCACGTTCGTTTGGATTGGGTTTTGTGTTGATGTTTGTTGTTTTGATAGCACACGCAAAAGAAAGCCATGAATGCGTTTTGTCGCCAGTTTTTTTGTTCGCACAGTTTCGCATTTGTTTAGCCGACGGCAGGGGGGACATCAGTGAGAGATATCGGTGAAATATATACACAGGGATATATATATATATATATATATGTATATTTTGTTTATTTGTTTTTTGGGTTTTTAAATGGATAGTTTTTGAGGTTTTTTTGTGTCAAAAAATTAAAAGAGGAAAAAAGAAAGAAAAATATGATTTTTATGAATGTTTTTTTTGTATTTTTTTATTATTTATTGTTTGTGATTAATAATTGTTACGACGACGATGACGACGGGCGACGACGACGATAAGAAACGTTGAGGATTAATTGTAAGCAACGATACGGTAATGATAGTTAGTAGAGCACAACATTGATGAACGACGTCTATAAGTTATGGGGGACGGCTTAGAGTGGGGTTTTGGGGCAGTTTTAGAGGTTGATTATGGCTAAGAACAACATTTATTTGAGCAGCTAGTAAACACTATTTGCTGAACCATTAGCTAGTTGTTAGTGTTAGTTTCAGTAACCGTTCAAAACATTGAGTTAGTAGAACAAACAATCATTAAAATTGGTTACAGATCTAAGAAATCCAACATAAAAACCTTGCCCAAAAATGTTCGCTCGAACTTCGAATCACTATTGAAGTCTTTCGTTTTTCCCCCAAATGACATGAGTTATTCAAACTACGAATAAGTGTGGGTGTTTGGCTTGGGGGGGGGGGGCGGCCCTGTCTGTGAGTGCTATGATCGTGTGGTGGGCACTGGACTCGGCGAAACAAATGTGCGAAACGCCAGTTTGACATATTAAAGTATGGCCAAAATTCCGATTCATGTTCATTTACGCCACTCATTTGTTTGCATGTGTGTGTGTGTGTGTAACTGTATTTCCTTGTGAGTGAAATGCAGGTGCGAGTATCTCTCACCTTTGCCTGAACAAATGGAAGTACTTTGAATTAGATGTGAAATCTTTTTTTTACCTTTTTCTGCAATTCAAAGCCATAAACACCTTAACATTTATGTACATATGTATGCATTTATGTATGTACATAAACATATGTATGTATGATGTATATTTGTGTGTTTTTTTTTTTCTTTGGAGTTGTTGTAATGAAAATAATACAGCGCTATTTGGTTTTGGTTTTATTTATGCTAAATTTCACAGACACAAAGTTGTTGTTGTTGATTTACGTTTTTTAACAGTGGTACACAAAGGTATGAGTACAGGAGAGACAAGTACAGTACAGTACGAACAACTACTAGTAGTTCGAGTGATTAGTATTCAATATATTCGCGAATACAATGGCTTGAGCATAAAGAGAGCGTACACAGTTTTTCTATAGATTAGATCATACATTATATTATCATATCATATTTATCGGGGGTTAGAGAGCATGCAGCGCGTTGGATTCCATAAAATAAAGAGCATAAGAATGTAGGAAACAAAGGAGACGGGGGTACACACACACATAGATAGTTATAGACATCGGATATACATATATGTACATATATCTTCTTCTTTTTTTTTTTTGAGGAAAATAAATACGAAACAACATTAAGTAAAAGGCACGTAAAGGCTTCTCGGAATGGCTTCACTTTGATCTGTTTCTGTTTGTCTAATGATTTATTTTATATATTTTCCTTGTGGCATCTTTGAGCGCAATGATAGAAATGTTTGAACTATGCTGGGGGGAGGGGGGCGGGAACTCGATGCAAATTATATGTAATAAAAATTGTACAAATATCACGACGCCGCAAATATATCATTGGCAGGGCCGCTGTTTGCTCGCTTTGCTTACATCTAAATTTCTATATTGTATATTTCATGTAACTAAAACGTTGATTCCAATGCGGTTGGAACTATCTTAAATAAGTCAAATATTTTGCTGCAAACTAGGAGCATTTTTCTTGCTTTAAATAAGGCAATTTTTATATCGTTTTTTCTTGTGCTTCATTTGTAGGAACGTTACGCCAGCATTTTGCTAAGTTCTCACTGCCCTATGCGAGTATATGGAACGAGTCTGTTTATTTGAATAGGCAATAAAGATACTACCTATGCATGCCTAGAATCTACTTTTTTTGTTGCTGATGCTCGCTCGCGCTCTGCCTCGTTTCTTTCTTCTAAATTATAACTAAGCTTAGACTCTCGCTCAACTATGTCACAGCTATGTATGTATGTAGTACAACAACTAATTTCATAAATAAGGCTGACTCTGTATATGTTTATCTATATATATATTTGTTTATATTTTTTTTAGGGTCTTGTGCTGCTGCAGCTGCGGCGCCCTCCATGGAGGGAATTTCACGTATCGCTTTTGACTAGTGCGCTCGATAAATGCCTGTCTTTGTCTTTGTCTTTGTCTTGTCTTGGATTACGAGTACGAGTTTAAAGGTAAGGCCTAAGTTTAACGCTAAGTTTTTAGACTAAATCAAAATTGTGCTTACGCGGATTGTTGTATTCACGAGTTTTACATTTTTCGGGCTCTCTCTCTCACGGATGGCGTGTTGTGTTAGCATTCTCAGGGGTCTCGTTTTTGGTTTCTTTTTTGTTATTAGAGAATTATCTAATACCCGTACACACACACACACACGCACACACACACACACACACACACACGCTTTCCACGCACACACACACACACAGGCGTTCTCCTTTTGCTGCTGCTTTTGGGATTTTGTTTTGAAAGTTTTGCTGGAGGAGGGGCTGGATTTTTCGTGAATCAAATGTACTATAAAAAGCAGCTTCAGATAAAACAAATAAAAACATCAGCAAATTGTTAGCAGATCTGCGTTTCCATTTTAATAATTAATTTAATTAATTTTTTGTTGTGTTTACTTTTATTTTGTAACTAATTTTTAGTTATATTTTCAAGTGCTGATGGGTGGGGTCGGGCTAGCAGTTAGCAAAACTTTCAATACGCGTTTACGATAGTTCGACAGAGCGAGAGAGAGAGAGAGAGAGGGAGGAGAATGAGGCACAACGCTACGTATGCGCAATGCGCATGAAATTTTAACTCTTTTTTGTTGTCTGTGTGTGTGTGTGGGATGTCATGTGTGTGTGTGTGTGTGTGTGTGTGTGTGGTGTGGGTGATTGCCTAAAAGCAGTTACAATTAAATTTAATCACAACATTCAATTGGAAAGGAGTAGTGGTGGAGCGGGTACTGGTGGGGGGGGGGTCTCTGACCCACAACCAATAAACTAAATGAAAGAACGAGTAAATAATTCTCATTTGATTTAACTTTTTCTTTGTTGTTTTTGCTTTTTGATTGACTTTAAGCTTGAAGCAGCAAGCCCTCGACTAATGGATCAATGGTTCTACGTTTTTTTGGGGTTTCAATCTGTGGAAGTTTTTCATCGCCCGCACTTAGATCTACGACTAAATACCGGACTATGTCTATGTCTATGTCTATCCCTCGCTCTTTTTGTGTGTGTGTGGTTGTGTGTGGGTGAATCTGTATCTGTTTAACAAACTAATTTACAGATACAATAACAATTGCATGTGATTTGGTTGTTTTCTCTTAGCTACATTTCGCTTAGTGTGTACTAGGTAGTAGACCCATTGGGTTGTTATTGGTTGGTTGGGACTAAGGGCTGGACTGTGCTGCACTGGTTTTGGTTCCTTCCTAGCGGCTGTCTTCGTTGTCGCTGGAACTGTTCTGCTGCTGTGCATCCCGCTCCTCGAGCAGACTTCGATTCAGCTCCTGTATGCGTGCCGAGAGTGCCCGCCTCCGAGGCGTGCCAAACGATGGCGGCGGTGGCGCCTCGATCAGCGTGTTCTTTTCGCCTAGGTTCAAAATCAGCGCGCATCAAATCAGTTTTTAGTTTTTAGGTTTTTGGTTTTCAACCAAAGAGTGGAACAAAGTTTGGGGGGAGGCTCATATAATGGTGTGTGTTTGTGTGTGGTTTTGAAATGGTTTTGTACATGGTTCGTTTGGGGTAGAAAGTAGAAAAAGAAGAGCAGAGAAAAGAACAAGTTGTAGATACATTTACTCGCATCTAGGGCGGGTTCGGGTTCGGGTTGGGATAGGGATAGGCTCATGGCTCTTGGTCGGAGCATAACCCTATCCCACACTTGGGCTAATTATCGCTAAACTACTTTTTTGTTCGCTAAGAGAATGGAGCATATACGAGTGTACATATGTATTTGTATTATATATCATATGTGTGGCTGTGGCTGTGGCTATGGCTATGGCTATGTCTGTGTGTATGAGGGGGTGTAAACTTAATGTAATCAGCACTTGAAAATTTTCTAAAATGTTTTTTTTTTTTGTTTATATATTTATAAAAATATTTTGTAGTTTTGATATTTTTGATTAGAGTTTTTGGGTATATAATTCGAAATGGAAACTCTATAAATGGGCATTCAAATTCTCTATTTGTTTTGTGTGTGTGTGTGTGTGTGTGTGTGTGTGTTCGGGTGTGTGTGTGTAGCAGTATCAAATCAAGAGTCACAAGCAATTATTATGAAATTTTTCGTTTCATTTATCAGCATCATATATGTAATTCCAATTGTTCCAAAACTAATTCGTAGGCAACAACTCAACGTGAACTGAAGGCAACAACTCAAAAGCGTTTCAAAAGCAACAAATCGCAAGATCTAAGCTACAACTCTAGGAATATATTTATCCATGGTTATAATTCATTTTCTCGAATTAACTCTTCGTTGTCTTCTCCTAATGGCAGCTAGGCAGGGGGTTTCCGATTGGGTATTTATGTACACAGCAGCACAGTGCGTTTCATTGCTGTTGGGGGAAGTTTTCTATGGATTAAAATGCATTTTAAAGATCAAATTATCCACCCAACAGCCATACAACTCACTGCTCCTTCGACTCTTTTCTTCGTTTCTCTATAAAGCACACTATAAATGTCGTAGGGTTGAGCAAAGCTAAAGCTAAGGGTGGTAAAATCTCGCCGATCGTGGCTATCTCAAGAGAGAGCTAAGACTTAAAGAGAGAGATATAAAAAGGGTGTAGTAGAGGTGTGTTGTTTTGTGTGTGTTACGCTACGAAAAGCGTTGGTCCAACGGCTACAGCATTGGGAGTTGGGGAGGTGTGTTGTAGTGGGGTTAGTCACCTGGTGGAGCGCTCTGCACATCGAGTGTCTGCCTGCCTATATTGGGGTTGCTCTGTCTTTTGCCCTTCGGATGCACGACATTCGTCTGCTTGCCTAAAAGAGAACGCACACACATATTGACAGGGGTTGACAGGGGGTGTTGATAGGGGGTGGGTTTGGATACGCTGCCTACTTATAGGCGCTTAATGTAGCTGCAGCGGAGGGTGTGTGAAGGGTGCCTTTGGCTTTGTACACTTGGATGTAAACCTCACTAATTTGTCGTTATATTTGCGCTAAGTACAAAAGCATTTGACTAATTGACCACATTAATGTGTCTTTCGGTTTCGTGTGTTTGTGTGTGTGTATACTTATTGTAGAGAGTGTAGAGTGTAGAGTGTGTGTGGGGCTAGGGCTACGGAAACTTAGAGTAATTGAATTTAGCTTAACTATGGATAGTTTACAGCGGAGATTCAAAGATTTGTATATGGATTATAGAGTTTGGTTCAACAATTTCTATCATCTTACGGCTCTGTTTTTTGTTACTGATCGGACGTTCCGTCAAATGCTATTTACACGCCTCCTCCAACAAATAATAAAGGAAAAGTTATACGAGAAGAAAAAGCGAGAAACGGAAAACGAAAATACAATTTTCATGCCACAAAAAGATCTAAAAAGTAAGCAAGAAAAGAGGAAGAGCATTGCATGGAAAGGCTTTGAGGGCGGGGATTTAGTTTAAAGACTACTAAAGCAAGGCATACTTCAAACTAAACTTAAGTTACATATACGAATATTAGTAGTAATACTTTGGTTACAACTTGATTGATTTTGACATCAATGAGTGGTTCTTTTTTGTTGTTGTTGTGGAGTTTATAATACCTCCAGAGACACTTACCTGTGTCGACAATCACATCGATGAGATCCATGGACTTGGCGAATGCATCTTTCAGATTGATATGATGAAAGGAGACAATGCTGCCCTCACGCTTGGCACGATCGAGTGCCTCGCGTCGCTTGAGGGCCTTTTCGCGTCGCATCTGATTCTTATAAAATTCAGCAAAATTGTTAACGATGATGGGAATAGGCAAAGCGATTACCAGAACACCGCATATGCAACACACAGTACCAATAACCTTTCCCAGTGCAGTTGTGGGATAGATGTCCCCGTAGCCAACAGTTGTCATTGTAATACCCGCCCACCAAAATGTTTCCGGTATTGAAACGAATTTTGTATCCTTTTCATCCTTTTCGGCAAAATATGCCAGCGAAGAAAATATGAGAACGCCCATGGCCAGGAACAGCATTAGTAGACCGAGTTCCTTATATGAGTTACGCAGCGTAAAGCCTAACGACTGCAGGCCCGTTGAGTGACGGGCCAGCTTAAGGATTCGCAGGATGCGCATAATGCGAAATACTTGCACCACCCGACGCACATCCTGGAACTGGTCCGTTGCATTCTTATTCGTTTCCAATAGAAATAACGAAACAAAGTATGGGAGTATTGCCAATAGGTCGATTATGTTAAGGCCGCCCTTAAAGAACTTCCACTTGTCCGGCGAGGCGCTAAACCTAAGTATGTACTCTAGAGTGAACCACGTGATACACACGGCCTCAACCATTGCCAATTGCGGATTATCCTGTGGTGTACCGTTGTCAATGTGTTGTAGTTGTGGTAGGGTGTTCAACGTCAGGGCTATGGTAGACAGGACTATGAATAGTATGGATATCACTGCGATAACCTGCGAATGGTAAAGAACAATCGAGACTTGTCGAAGACCATCATTCAGCAAATGGGATATTTCGTATATCGATTACACAACGATAACACGTTTCACGTTTACGATAACGATAATGCGATTATACCATAAAACGATTTAACGATTACGATTATATGGGATTGGATAGTAGGTTGGTAGACGTAATCGGTAGTTAGTAGTAGTAGTAGTAGGTACACAGGTGGGTAGTAATTTTTTACGACACATTTTCATTCCACACACGACTATGCAAAATGTTCTTTAAATTGTTCGATTGATTGATTGTTTGATTAATCCAACAAAACATTGTTACAACATTCATCAACAGCAAAAATCAGCAGCGAGCGAGAGTAGAGGAATTATCTACTCCCGTTCTCATGTCAGAGAGTTCAGAGTTCACTGCGATTCGTGGGTGGTGGATATGCATGGGGGTCTAAGATGCTGGGGGCGCTAAGGCTTCAAGCAAACATTCAGTTAGCTTCAACTTTAACTTTAACTTTAACGTTAAGTTTTTGTTTATTTTCAGATCGATCTTCGATCGGAGTATGGGTTGGAACTTTTCGTTTGATTTTTAGTCAAGTTTGTTGCTGTTTTTGGTCTGTTAGAGAGAGAGTGAGATAGACACAGAGACAAAGAGAGAGATATATATATTGAGGGGACTTTTTGTTGTTTGGCTTTCCGGACCGATTTCTTGGTAGTTGTTTTTGTTTTTGTTTTTTTTTTTCTTTGTACTTTTCAAAGGCTGCTGTACTATATGTGAAGTATATTTCATTTTTTTGTTGTTCAGTTTTATCTGTCGTGAATCCTTCTCCATAATACAAACTTAACGTTTAAATAAAACAGAAACATATATAAACATAAACATTTTTTTGGATTAAGGGGGTTTCTCTTTCCTTTTTTTGGAGCTCCTCGGGCTCAGTGGATCAGCAGCGGTTGGGTGGATTGGTGGGGGGGTTTTGGCAGGAAGATCTCTGATCATGGTAAATGGTCTAGATCATCGCTATCTGAATGTTGTGTGTGGGTGTGTGGTGTGAGTGGTTTGTGGTGTGAGTTTTTGCTTGAATTGTGTGTGTGTGTGGTGGCAGAGTGGTGAGTTTTTTGAGTGGTTAGTGGCTGAGGTTTGGTGTTTTGTGTTTTGTGTTTGGTGTTTGGTGTGTTTTGTTTTTGGATTGTGGGACAGATCACATGACGCAACACAAGGACATAACACACATCTACATACATGTATTCTGTATACGTGTGTGTGTGTCATCTATAATTGGATCGATTATATTTATGGTATGAGGGTGAACCAGGGGGGGCACTCCATCGTCAAATAAGAGACGCTATACCCTTGGGGTCTGCAGTCGACATTTTTTCTTTTATTTTATTTATTTATTATTTAACTGTATTTGTGTTTTGTTTTCTAATCATCCTCCTAATTCTCATCCTGCTTAAATCTAACAATTTCGCAAAGTGTTTTTCGCTTTTGTTTCTTTGTGTTTCTTTTGTTTTCTTGGGGGGGGGGGTTTACTGGGGTTTTGGGGGGTTTTTCGGAAAATGATTGAATTGTTTGATAGATAGATAGAACATAACTCAATGGGTTTTGCTTTAAATCAGAATTACGAGTACGTCTAGCAATATTCATGATTAGATTCTAGCAAGAAAATGACAAGAAAAACCAAAAACTTAAGAAGAAAGACAAAGTCAAATTTGTAAATTCAAATTCAAATCCAAATTCTAATTCAAATGCATAACTTTCGTAGCAAACGAGCAGAGAATTACAGAGTTTACGATAGAAAAGAGATTCCAGACGACAACAAATCAGAAGAAGAAAACTCAAATTAAAACTTAAATTGGAAAGTCAGTAAATCAAATCTTTAAGGACTCTCTCATGTCCCGTGAGAAGAGTGCCACAATAAACAGGATTTTTGGGTCTTTAAATAATTTATGTAATTTACCAAAAACTGCCAATCCCAGAGACAAGTCATAGTGGGGGGTCGGTGCGGTCATAGGGGACAGGAGTCAAGCGGGGCAGGGACCGATCGACCTGCCTGTCAGAAATGCAAATGCAAATTTCAATGCCAGATTGGATTGTTGTTTATGGAAGGAAGAGCTGAGATAGCCAAAGTCGTCTGCTGATTGCCACATTAGGTCACAAAACAATTGCAAAATTCTTGGCTCCCGCAATTTGTTGGCTGGTTATATGTCTGGCTATGCATGTCTGGATATATGTATATGTGTGTGTGTGTGTGTGTGTGTGTGTGTGTGTGGTTGTGTGTGAGAGTGTGACTGACATTTGACTTTCTTGAGCAGCAGACTCTGACAAAGAGCGAGAGTGGGGAAGAGAGCGACTGAATGTGTCCACTCCATCTCTGATTTTGGGCGTTTTTACATTGAACATCTTCGACATGCTGCCGCCGCCCCCCTACTACTAGGCTAGGGGGCACGGCACGTGGCATGATTAGTTGATATATTATATATAAAACACAAAGGTGCCTGCCTCTCTGTGTGTTTATGTCCAGATCTACCATAGTAGGCGCCTGTACGCAACCACGCTTGGATATGGATACGGATCTGGAACTGGAATATAGATTGGTGGTTGTTGGGGAATATTTAGGGTTGGATAGTGGTTGTGGGGGGTTTGGTTGGTTGGTTGGGGTTTGAATTTCCATTGAGGTTGAGTCAGAATTTTCATTGAGGTTGAGGTTGAAATTTTCCTTCAGTTGAGAGCTACAATTTCGTTTTGTGGTCTAAGGTCTAAGAATTTGTTCTTTCATTTTGATTAAGTCGGGTGGGTGGTGGTGGGGGGCCACGGGCGGCTCTGTTCTTTGCTATGGCTTTATGGTATTCTACATAATACAGATACAGAAAAAGTTAAAGATAGTTATGCAAGTAGATAGTTATTAGACAAAAGATACTTAGTCAAGGAGGAGACATTACAAAATATATGTAACTAAATACGCACTAAAAGATACACGAAAACCAACAAAAAAGTAGGAGACAAACAGAACTGAAAAATCATTTGAATGGTGCTAGAGCAGCTTCATACGATGAGTAGAAGATAGAATAAATACATAGATACAGATACAAAGTGTGGGAGATGGCTAGAGAGAGGGAGAGATAAAGAGTACGCGAGGGAAGATAGACAAAGAGAGAGAGAGAGACATCTACGGATTGCAATTGAAGTGGTCTTTGATTTTATTTTCTATTTTTTTGTGTTATTCTTTCGACTGTCAAACTTCGGGAAAGTTAATTAAATTTCCATAATTAAATTCCATTTTAGGAGTTGGATAGCTGGCGGGGGGTTGGTGGCGGGGTTACAACTTTCTACTTGAGATGGCGATGAAAGTTTTACAAACTAATTTTACTTTCGATTTCGCTTTCGATTGAACAGAATGCATTGGAGGAGAGATGGTTCGAAAACAAAAAAGTCTTGTGCGAATTTTTAACTCTTTTCTTTTTTTTCTGTCTGTCTTTCTTTCTTTTATATTTTCTGTTTGTTTTTTTTTTTTACTTCTTTTATTTTTTGGAACTGCTACCATTGCTGCTCAGTCATGAAGGTGGTTTTGGGGTTGGGGTTAAGGGGTTTTGGGGGCGGGGCTTGCGGTTGAAAGTAAAACATGATATCGCAAATACTCAAGTCGGGCTCTTGGAAGATCGATTGCTTCTGTCTCTGCTGTACAGAAGTGAAAAAAACATAAAAAATGCACAAAACTTACAACTACTACAAAATGTTGAAAAGCGCAACATGTTGCAAAAAGCCTTAGCTTGGGGGGGTGTGTGGCCTACAAAAATTAAAACAACAAAATTCCATACTATGTAAGCCGCTGGACAACGAGAGCCACAAGATGTACAAAACTCAAAGCGAGATAAAGGAAGGCCAGCCGCCTCGGCATATGCCGATGCAATGAGATGCGCTTGCAACTAGGGAGGGAAAAAAACCGGAAATTTGTTGAAATAAAATTGGTATTACTTTAGTTATAGAAACTTCAGAGTTCTCTCTTTGTATCGGACAGACCCAAAAACATTTAACCCTTTGCAAGTGCATCGAGAAAAAGGAGTACAAATTTCAATTAACTTCCCTGAACCTGGCTGAAATCCACTTGAATTACAAGTAATGAAAAGTTTTCTTTGGATGGATAACAGAACAAGATACCAGGGGGCGCTATGTGAAGTACAGTGGAGAGCACAACAATATATCGGTGAGGGCACAGTGGTTGTGAGCTGAGTTGAGGGTGGGGCCGGAAAAAAAACCAACAAATAAAAAACAAAGTCAGAAAAACAGTCAAAATACAATTCATGCCACAAGTGAATATATTTAGAGAGAGAGAGAGAGAGAAAGGGAATGGGGGTTACAATATTAAATATACAAAATTTACAAATGGTACACAATCGCAAACAGCAGTCTTCACTGTACCACAAAAATATAAAACACAAATTACTAAATCTAGATTTAAAAATGGCTACAAAACTTGAGTTGGAAAATTATACAAAATTACATTCAAATTGGTGCAAGAATTGACAATTGTGTGTGCGTGTGTGTGTGCGTTTTGTGTCTGTAACTGTGGTCTTATGTGTCTCTATACTTCTGGCTTTAAATATATTTAATATATATTTTTGGTATAGTTTTTTTTTTTTTGCGTTTGGTTGGTGTATTTTTTGTTTCGTTTTTTTGTTTGTGGTTTGGGGGAGTGGTTGGGGGGTGCATGGAGTTTGTTCGCATACTTTGTTCGACTCACTAAAAAACAAACAAAATTCGAGACAAACGGCTATGGCTAGTATTGGGTCTATATAGAATTCCGCATGAAGCTACAACAGAATTCTATATCTCTAGTGGCATTCGAATGCAGCGTACTTTTGGTGGGTGTAATATTTCAATATTGAAGGATATTTTTATTCCATAGATACAGAATCCGAATGGTTACGGGAAATCATAAGAGACTACAAAATAGTTTTATTTACTCTACATGAAATTTGTTTAATTATTCTGTGATTTTATCTGCTTATTCCTAACGATAGATTTCTGAATGGAAGAGAGAGAGAGAAAGTTGTTTCTAATTGAAAGACAGACGCTTGGGGAGGGGGGCACTAACGTTTCTTTGTATCTGTTTGTGTGTATTTGTGTGTTGTGTGTGTGTGTGTCAGTGTTGAAGATCGTAAGTAACCAATGTTCGAGAATCAAAGTCAAAGGTCAAAGAAAGTTGATTAAAAAACACAATTTACAACGAGAGAGAGAGAGTTAAACAAAATGTTCTTTCATTTACAACATCGAATATCGAAAAAATACATATATACGACAGACTTTTCGTACTATATATACACACATTTCATATCATTAAACATCGCCAATACGAATGAAAAAAAAACTTCAACAAAAAAGGCAACAAACAACCAACAATAACATTTCGTGTTCGTTTTACATCATTTTCAAAACCAAAAATATGTAGGTATACTTTTTCTTTGTACGAGTATTTGGTATATTTTGTTGTTGTTGTTGTTGTGGTTGGTATATTTCTGGATTAGTTAGTAGTATTTTTTTTGTTGGGTATTTTTGTTTGTCTTCGCGAGAGGAGAGACTGCACCTGAGTATTTCTGAGTTTCGGATGTTAACTGCTTTGCTTTTTCTTTTCTTTACTTAGATTCAGAGCTAAGATATAGTGTTTTTTTTGGTTCTCATATTTATCATTTCGTTGAAAAAAGGATGTGTTTAGGCGTGGTATTAAAAAGAAACAAAAAAATACAGAACTTAAAAGATCCTTTGGTTAGTTTCAACTTTTCTTTCTTTGTTTCACCCTGAAAGGAAATTCGAGTTAGTTAGTTGTTTGAAGAAACAACGGAATAAATAAAATTAAAAGTTAAGTACAACTGGCAAGGAGTTCCGGAAATTTTTCATTACCTTTGCAATAAAATAAAAAATGTAAATAAAAAATGCAGAAAATCTATAGAAATATCAATAGAGATTCCTAGTAAAGTTTTTTTTAACTAAAAAATGGAAATTAAAACTTTTGAATGTTCCTAAAATGTTGTGAAAATAAAAAGTACATAAATTCAACTGAAAATTCAACTGAAAATCGAATGAAAAATTATTGGAGATGCACCCAAAATATGTTGTAATTATTTCCATTTTCCCCTTGATTTCTGATTCAAGCTGAAGCTAACGCAAGAAATCTGGGCAAATTATCGGCTGTGTATATACAAGCTAAAGCCAAACAAATTGCGGAGGGAGGAGTGATTCGTGATTCGTTTGTACAAGGGACACTTGGTCCGAAGATATCCTGTATCCAGGATGTGTGTGTCCCCTACCTAGCAAATCGGAAAATGGAAATGTATTACAACACCTTTTTTGGCCGCTTCTCCCCGGAGCCCCTGTTCGTTACAATATTTTCGAGGATTTCTACAGCACACCTGCCGCCTGGTCATATCGCTTATTGCCCATTCCCAAACATTGTTACAGTGGGGGTAAGGGATTTGTTTAGGGGTAGATAAACAGAGAGATTACTTTCACCATCATCATCAACAATTAAGAGATATATATGTAGTAGATATATTCATTATTTTAACAGTAGATATAAATATATATGTAGATATTTGTATGTATACTGTGTGTGATGTAAAAAAAGAACTGGATTAGAGAAACGATTAGTAAACAAATTTTGGTAGCTTCAATTGATCGATTGGCTTTAGGTGATCGATTTTGGTTGTTGTTTTTTTCTTTTTTGCAGCTGAAAACTTTCCGAGTGTCGTCTAAAATTCAAACTAAAACTCAAATTCAAACTAAAATGAACGTAAAATGCAGCTAAAAGTAAGCAGAGGGGGGGATTTCTTTTAGGTGGTTGGGGAGAATATAAAATTTAGGGAAATGTTTGGGAGGTCCTCTCGTTTGGTAAACGCTCCCGCGGCAAGTGGCAAAACGTTTTTTGGTTCGCTTTGTTGCCAGTTTTTTGCTGAAAGAAATTCCATAACAGTGGAGCGAAAGTCCGGTTCTGCTCTGTACGAAAGCATATGGAATATATACATAGAAACGAGAAGGTATATACAAACACTGAAGAGACGGAGTCTGCTTTATGTACACGTAGCAGCAGCAGTTGAAGTCACATTATCAAACGAGCAATCGCTTCATGGACATTGAAAAAACATTCGTAAAGAGCAGCGAGTAACGAGTAGCGAGCAAACGAATATCCTGGTGCAAGAACCAAAGCAAAAATACTTTTATATGCAGCTTGGTGATGTTCAGTATGTGGGGTTAGAAAGGCAATTAATGGTACAGCAGTTGAGTTACGCTGTGGATCTGCATTATCGGCTTGATTGAGTTTTGTATATAGTACAGAGTGCACTCTGCAGACCCTAAGCTAAGATTTGCTTTGGCTTTCTCTTTGCGATTAATGTGTACAAAAACAAAAATGGGATATAAAATACAGGATTAATGGGGGGGGGGATTATTGGGTTTATTGTTGGGTAGCTGAAATATCTCTTACGCTTCTTTTTTTGACATTGACACGGTTAAACGTTGATTAAAAAATATACAATACAAAGGATACACATCTATGAGAGTGGAGTGGATGCAACCGTTTGGACTTACCCGTGCGGCGAAGCTTGTGTTTGGCTTCTCGAGCAGCTCCCACAGATACTTTTGATATTCGGCGCATTTACCTTCGCCAAACTCCTCCTCGTCCCGCTGGCGCAACGATTCGGCCTCCTTGCGCATCTCCTCATGGACATTCTCCTTGCGCTGATGATACTTGTGCTGACAGCACGACTCCAGATACAGTTCGTCCACGCCCCAGTACTCCAGATCATCACTAAACGCAAGCACGCACATCTCGTCCACAATGTGCAGCTTCCCGGTGCGATAGAAGTTCAAAATCGAACTGAAGCTCTTCGGATGGCGATCGAAGAAGTACTCGTTATCGACGAGCGAATAATCGTCGCACAGCTCTGTTATGGCCTCGTGGGTGGTGCACTCCCTGAGCCGCCCCAGCCGCGTGTGTGGCAGACGCTCCAGTGTGCGCCACAGCACCTCATGCTTGACGCCGCCCACGTTGATGGAGACGCGGCTGTTCAGTGCCTTCGATTGGGCTATCATGAACGGCTCGGGGGGCGGTATGGAGGACATGGATCTGGAATGTGTCCGCTGTAGTGCACCGGTGGTGGTGTTGCTTTGGCTAATACCGCCGACGCCAATGCCAATGCCAGTGCCAGTGCCAGTGCCAACGCCGCTGATGCCGGCATTGGATGTGGAACCGCCAGCGGGGCCGCCAATGCTGCCACCACCTGGGACGCCGCTGGCTCCACCACCACCGGATGACCCAGCGAGTGCCATTTGTTGTTGCTGTTGTAGCTGCTGTTGGGCTGCTGCTGCTGCTGCTGCCGCCAGAGTTTGCTGGGAAGTTGTGGGATTTGAATGCGTTGGTGATGTAACTGGGAATGGAGCGTAACGAACTTCCTTGCCAATGGCACCGCCACCGCCACCGCCGGCACCCGATCCACCGCTGAGTCCTGCCGCAGTAGCAGATGAAGCAACAGCTCCCAGAATGCCACCACCGCCGAAGGATGATGCTGGGGCGGATGGGAGAGCAGTGTGGCCGCCATCAGCATAATCCATGTGGCGACTGTTGATGACCATTGGGCCGCCGGCAGCACTTGGCCCAATGTTATAAGCAGGGCAGCCAGCTGCTGCCACAGATCCGAGGCCGATGCCACCATATGCACTAGCTCCACCGGTTCCCATCGCTGCTCTCTCCCAATCGACATTACCGCTTGTATCGTAATAGGGCTGACTATCGATGCCGATGTCGCCAGAGCCGGCAGTTGCGGCAGCTGCAGCTGCAAGTTGCAATCCGCGTGCAATTGCCTCGTGATGTTGCTGATAGAGCAGATCCTGTTGCAGCTGTTGTTGTTGTTGTTGCTTTGATTGTTGCAGCTGTTGATTCGATTGTTGTTGTTGTTGTTGTTGTTGTTGCTGTTGCTGTTGTTGGCCAGCAGCCTGTCCACCATGCAATTGCCCGACCATTTGTAATACTCCATTATTGTGTTGAAGCGGTGTTGATTCACCCGTTGCCCAGCGTACCGCCTCACGGTCCCTGTCGCGTTCGCCGACCATAAGTCTGCTATAGAAATACAGAAGAAGATGGAGATAAAAGATCTAGATTTATGGCCAACTACTTACCGCTACATCGCGTCAATTGTCGTCATTACAGCCTCCGTTGGGTGTCGTGCTGCTGCTGCTGCTGCTGCTGCTGCTGCTGCTCCACTCTCCGCTGCTTGCCCCTGGCTTTGTTTTACTTCCAAATCTTTTTCGGGTGCAATTGATTTCTCTGTGGCTCTAGTAGCTATCAGATCTTTCTCTATAAATTGCAGCTCTATCTTTATGGCGTATCTAACTATCTATCTATGTAATGTGTAACGCCCCGTCAATTGCGGTCTGGCAGGTTCCTGTGTGCTGTGTCCTTTGTCTTGCTGTACTCCTTCATGTCTGTGTGCTCCGCTCGTTGTTGCTCTCCTTGTTGTTCTTGTTGTTGTTGTTGTTGTTGTTATGTCTATGATCACAGTTTTGATTTCCGTTTTTATATTTTTGTTTGTTTCCTTGATTCTTTCCTTGGTTTGTGGTTTGAGGCTCGGGATTCGGGCTCAGGCGTTTTTTGGCAGCATTTTGGTGTAGAAAGAGAGAGATAGGGATAGGGAGAGGCAATAGCTAGAAAGAAAGACATTTATAGATTATAGATTATATATTTTTGAAAGCATTTATAGTAATTTATTATATTTTAGCACAATTTTAGTAATTTATGATAATTATTTTAGACCAATTAAATATATTTCAATGGCTGCTAAAATTCCCATAAATTAGCAAACATTTCCTTAATTAGTGGAAATATATTCGCCTGCATTTTATGCACTGCAATGAGCTTGTAAAAACCATTTTAGTTATTAAAAATAATTACCAAATAAATCCCACCAAAAATGTGCAATAAAAGCGCCACAAATATGAGAAATATTTCACAGCTGCGCTCTGTCGTTCATGCATAACTAGTGCAGGATATTCATTCATTAAGTAGCTGAATTGTGCACTGCATCAATAGTTCACAAATATCCTAAACAATTTCCTGCTGAATTTATAGCATACTTTTTGGGGCCACGCAACCAAGGGCAATTATCGCATAATTATGCAACCATGCACACATTTCACTGCAGTTCTCTAATAAACACGTAGATGCGTGTGTTGCAATCAAAACTTGGGTTACTTTCTCTACTTTCTCTTATTTATCACCATTAATTTGCAATTGCCGAAGGCTATGCACAAAAAATAACACTTGCCCTGCTCCGCTTTTAGGTACGTGTGTGTGTGTGTGTGGCATGCGTTTTGTTTGGCTATTTTTGGGGTCAATGCAAATGCCTTTCGTTTGGTTTGGCCTTTGCCTAAATCGCTGCCGCTTGCCGCTGTAGTTTGCAAATGCAAATGCAATTGCAGTTCTTTTTCCTCCTTTTTTCTGATTCCGTTTCTGCCGCATTGCAATCAAATTTGAATTTTTACGCCCCAAAGGAAATGGCGAGTAATAAGCCGAATGGCTCTCGAGCATTTTTCTAATGGATTGCCAGACCGTGCGTGTGTGAGCCAAGAAGTCTTCAAGCTGCCCGCAGTTGTGCACCCAAAAAACGACTTCATTTCGTATTCACTTGCCTGCCCCATTCCATGCGCTCGAATAATGAGTATTCTTCTGCCGTTTGGCAGTGACTTAGTACTAGCAAAAGGTATCATCTCTCTATCATATGGTGGATAATAATATCCAAACAATAATTGTATCGCATTCCTATCTAGAGTGGCAATCGCATGGCAGATTTGTGCGCCACTTGTCACTCCACTGCCCTTGCACGTCGCGTGTTGCAACGACTGAGCCGCCACTCAAATTATATAGTTTTGTTTTGTTGCATTTTTGTCAGAATAAATTGGCTTTTATTAGCGCAATTTTCAAGGGGAATGCCGTCGTGCTTACCCCCCCACCGGGCATTTCTAATGGCAAATGTCAAGTGGGGAATGCAATTGAGCAAAGCGCTTGTAAATGTCATTTTTTGACTAGATTTCCGGCACGGGAGCATTGTTGTAAGAAATAAATCAGTAATGGAAATTTATGGAATATTTTTGAGGCAGTTTTTTTGCAACACTGCTCGTAGGTTTATCGATAGGCAGCCAATGTCCATGCCTACGTTTCGTTGTAAACTTTCATTTGTCAACCATAAATTCATATACAATTTGAGTCTTCAGCTAAGTTTTCATTTTACTTTTTGCTGCTGAATTTCTTCTAAGCAAAACTGTTGCAGAAAATCCAGAAAATGCCAGAGAACAACTATTGTCCCATGCAGGAGAGAGAGAAGAGAATATTCCAAATGGCAAAACCAACCAGAGAACATTCAAATCCCAGAGTTGCCCATAGAGAAAGAGGAGCCTTCCGTGCAGGACAACAATCAGCATGCATTAATCTACACCTACACATCATGAAGAAATTGTTGACGGGCGATAAACGCTATTTCGTGAAGCAACTGCGCCACATCCAAGCCAATAAATTGAAGTTTGCCTACTTGAAAACGCGTGGCCAAATGTCGGCAATTGTGGCAGCTAAAGGCCAGCTGCAGTTGTTGGACAAAAAGGGGAATCGTCGTCGTCGTTCGATGATCCGCGAAATGCGCGTTCATTGGCTTACGCTGATCAAAATTATACTCAGACAGCGCCAGTTTCTGGCACGCTTCAGCAGCGTGCAGCTGGGGAAAAACTTAACTAAAATGCATAATACATAATAACCCCCCCAAAAGGTGGCTGCAAATTGCAGGTAAATTAGTTTTGTGCTGTTTTTTTTGCGAGGCATGCAACACGTTAGCCTCCCCCCACCACGCTCGACAATTAATTTCTCACACAGTCTCGCGAGTTGCCTGGCTGTTGGGTGTTGCTGTGTGTGGAACCTTGGAACCTTGGAACCTGTTGAACACTTGAGCCTTGGGGCAACTCAGAATGCAATTAATTTCTCATTTTAATGAGGTGAGACCTTTTCGTTGTTCTTGGCCAAGTGCGAAAGTGGCAGGAGAAAAGTTAAAGCTAGGACAGAGAGTGGACGGCCGGACAGCCTTTCTGGCCTTGTCATGAAAACTCTGCCAGATAATGGACGTCTAAAATTTATGACCTAAGCCCACCCACCCATAACACACACAGCCGCTCTGACACTCACTCGAAACACTCAATCATTCACACACGAACACTCAGCCGAGTGGTTAGACGGGGGAGCATTTAGTGTGGGGCTGGGCAGCAAAATTTACAAAATGGCAACTTAATTGCCCCTCAAAATGGTCGTCCATCGAATGCCAGGATGTGGCGGGACGACACTCAGGTTACTCTACAGAAATATTAGAAAGTTCTCACTCTAACTCACTCCCACTCGCTCTGTCTTGATGACAAAGTTGAATGTTTTACGAGCGGCCGCCACACATGTGTGATTAATGATTTCTTTGCTTTCTTGACGCTAATTGAAAAATGTTTAGGGGGCAAACATCGGAGAAAATAATTAGAAAATATATTACGAAAGAGGAGGAAGGAAATGCTGAATAAAACAAGGCTAGAGGCAGAATAAAATAATTAAAATCTTGAAGCAAAAATCAGCACAAAATGAAGAAATAAAGTAAAGGCAATCGATTAGTATTCAATGCGGAAAATGTCTAAAAAGAAGCTGCGAAGCAACGACACTAAATCAAAATCACGAAATTTTAAGCTCCTTATTAAAGATACAGCCACAATCCGCTCCAGCACCAGCACTAAAGCACTTTACTTCACTTCTACTGGCACTGGCACTTCCTTGCCTGCTCCACTCTCAACTCTACAGCGCCAAGATACATGCATCAAATGCCAAAATTCCACTTAAGTGCTAAAAGCGACAAACTGCAAGCTTCTCTCTGCCATTTGCATATTGCATTGAAGGCAGGGTGCTGGAAATGTTAGAACAGATAGCTGGAGCAAAGGCAAGAGGCAAGAGAGGCAAGGCGCAGAACGGAAAAACAAGAGAGAGAGTGCGAAAAAATGCAACACAAATATTGTGGCAGCAGAGGTGGAAGAGGCAGAGGTGTGGGGTGTGTGCCAAAAGCGTGTCAATGTTGTTATAGTTGTTAGGTTTTTTTTTTTTGCTTTTGCCTTTGTTGCTGCCACATAGACGGTTGCAAGTGGCAAGCATTTATTGCTGGACTCTCGAGTCTCGAGCGTCGCCGTCGCCGTCGCCGTCGCCATTGCCATTGTCTGTATTTATGGGCGCCATTTTCCGTAGCCAAGTCAAGTGCATTTATTTTTAAATGCTCCATAAGCAGCAGCACCACTCTGGTGTAAAAGTGGCAGCGAAGGGCGTTCTTTGAGTGCGTCAGCGGCAACCTCAACACTCAACACTCAACGGCAAACAGAACGAACAGCCGCCGAGGACATGTGTATGTGTGTGGGTAGGGGTATCCTTTTTCCCCACATCCAATTGGACGCCATCAACATCCGGCCACAGCCACATCCGGGACCCTTGCCCTGACCACTGCCCTAATTTCGTTTGAAGGCCCTCCAGGGTGTGAAAAATGAAGTTAGAACTGCAACACTTTCCATTTTGATGCAAATTTTCAAGCAAATTTCGACTCTAATTGTGTGCGCCTCTCCCTTGTACCCTGGTCAGCACATGAGCGGGAAGGGGTGTCATGGTTTTAAGCTGCCATCTCTACCGCTAGTTTGTACAGGGTACCAGCACCTTCCATCAGCTTCCATCAGCTTCCATCAGCTTAAGCTTAAGTTCTTTCCCTCACACAATTTTTGGCTATTTTCTCTGTTTTTAAGTTTTTTGCGTGCCAAAGCGGACTTATTGGCCATTGGCATGCAAGCGGCGATTGCTGCCGCTTCTTGACCAACTTGTCTTGGCCTTGGGCGGGTGGCTACCCTCTCAATTGTTGCACTTGGCAACGCCTAAAGCGTGGCGGCATTCGTGTATTCAGTTAATTGCTTTTATTGGGTATTTCGTTTATGGCTGCACAGGAACTGCCTTTGGCCTGATGTCATTCCGGGATACCTAAAATCAATAACAAAGCGTTGAGGTGTAGGAGCTGTGGGTGTGTGTGTGTGTGTGTGTGTGTGCCGGACAAGTGTCATTCACCTCCAATGAGTGCGTGGCAGTAGGAGTGTCTCTTAGCCAGGAGTACCTCTTTCTACCTTTGAGTTTGCTGCAATTTGTGACTCCTTTGGCTAACCCTTCTGCCTGTTCAATTGCGCAGTTTGGACAAAATCGAAAATGAAATATTCATAATCAACCATTGGGCCGGGGGCCATTGGCCGTTAACGGGGTTTTCCCCAGCCTGCACACTAATATGTCTCATGTGTGCTATTGATTTTCGATTATGGACAGTGTCTCTATGCCGTCTGCCCACCTGTTAGCCGTGGAATATTCAACTGAATAATGCAACGAAATCCAATGGAATCGAATCGGAACCAGTTGTATTTATAATGCCTGCGATTGACTTTCCAGGTGGAAGAACAGAAAGCAAAAAAAAAAAGCAACATTTATCACAGCGCTGGCATCATGAATGTCTCCAACTGTCCGCAGTCCGCACGGTTCCCATGATAATGATAAATGGATACAACACACACAAACACACACACACACACACACACATTATGTATACGACGTACGTGCCACA